GGTCAGACCAGGGTGACCCGGAGGGTGAGGCCAGACTAGGGTGACCTGGAGGGTGAGGGTTTGGGGGTCAGCTTCCTTGCTCTCCATGTAACATGGAGCAAGACACCTGGAACCCAAATGTCCATTTCCTTGGGTGGGTGGAGGCCACACAGCTGAGTTCTTCTGAAGGCTTGTGCGCTTTCCCACGAGTAAAATATGCCTGGATGAACCACGAATCAGTGCGGTGCCTGGCCCTCAGGAGGCTCAAAGAGGAAAGATTAGCCCCTTGGACTGGGGGGTCAGGTGGCCCTGCCAGGAGGGCCCTGCTCCCAAGGAGGGCTTCTCAGAGGTGGCATCTGACCAGGCTGTCGGGCCCGGAAGGCTGGAGGGAGAGTCTTGCTACAAGCCCAGGTGACGGGCCCAGGGATGGAGTGGTACCCAAGGCCCTTTACCCTAAGCCTGCTCACCTTCCTTCTGCCTAGCGGCGGTGTGGGCGGGGAAGGAGTGGCCCAGAGTCAGACAGACTGTGTCCACGTCCCCACCCTGCCAGGGCCAGGCCTTCGGACCATGCCTGAGTCCCTCCTGCTCTGTCCGTTGTTGGGGAGATTAATAGGAGGGCAAATGTGTGCGCCTCGCACGCAGTGCATATCCGGTACAGCATCTTCACTAACCCCTGGGCCTAATCGCTGTGAAGTCTGATGACAGTTCTAACCCTGGACTGCCAGGGAGCCGCTGTCCCCTGCATTCTGAGAGCAGATTCATCAGGCACCCTTGCTTCACCCTAGCCCTCAGCTTTCCAGGCTCACCGACCCCTAGACAGGGGGTTTGCTCCTGAAGGGAAACTTCTCCCATGGGTAGATGCTGCTCCCATATTCTCTCCACCGTGCCCACCTCTCCCTCCCTCCCTCCCCCCCATTTCTCTCTCTCACATTCCACATCAGAGCCGGTGCTCCCCAGCTGGACGGCAAAGTCTGCCTGAATTTAACACCAGCTCCTAAAGCTCCCTTTTCCAGCTGCAGGGGCCACCCTGCTGGTTATCACAGCCATTCTGGGCTGGTGGTTGGTAAGGTCAGCCCATCTTGCAAGAAGAAATGGGCTTGCTTGGTGAAGGAACCTGGCCTCTGGCTCCAAACCTTGTGGTGGGACTTAGCATTCCTGGGGCAGCAGCAGAGGGAGGCGTGGCTGTCTTGCTGGTCATGGGGAGCAAGTGTTCTTGTCCTGACTTAGATTTTCAGTAAGAAAGCATTGGTCCCCTCCTCCCACACCATCCATGCTGGTGGACAGCATTGAGCCCCGGCTGAGGTCCCAGCACAGACGCGCCCAGATGCTCTGTTACAAGAGCCAAAATTTTACCAGGTCACCACACGACCCCTGACCCCATGTGTCTTGGACTGCTGAGTGCTGGGACAAGCTTGAGAAGCTCTTGGGGAAGGATGGAGTGTTTCTAGGGCGTGATGGGGTGCAAGGAACAAGTGAGAGGTAGGAAGCCCCTTATCCGAGTGGTCCTGCTACCACACAGTAGTGCTGCGGGAGCAGAAGGTGGCCTGTGCTAATTGGTTTGAACTAAGAGTCAGGAAATCTGAAAGCGGTTTGGGCAGCAGGGAAGAGCCCGTCTTGTCACAGCTCCACAAACTCCCTGAAGGGCTTCCTGCATCAAGGCTCTGTCTGGCCTTATCTTTCTTCCAGCCCATCCTCCCCCTGCATGCCCTGGCCTCCCCTCACTTGGCCATGCCCCAGGGCCTTTGCACCTACTGTCCCCTCTGTGCAGATTACCTCAGTTAGGGCTACTCTGCCCCAAGACCTCATCTGTGAGACCCTCACAGCTTCCCTTGGGGTCGCTGACAAATATTTCCCACACGAAGCAGCCCATCAGCAGCTTTCTGAGTTGCCCAATCCTGCGTGTGAGGCTGACAATGTACTATTGGGCTCCTTTCTGGAATGTCTAGGAGTGTCACGGAAAGCGGCTTGCACACTCACGCTTCCTGCACACAGTGACAAGTGGGGCCTCTGCAGCTCCCCAGTCAGCCCCACGGTCCCTTGGCCAGGGCTCTCTGACAACCTCTACGCTGGCCTTCTGCACGAAGCACTGCCTCGCCTGTCTCTGCAGGGGAGCCAAGCTGTACCCCACGCAGGGCCCTCTGCTGTCTGGCTCTCGTTCTGGGATGGGCCTGGAGGCATCAAGGGCCATGAGCAACCCCCATTCCTTGCTGGGTGCTGCTCTCCCCAGGGCGAGTCCACAGGCGGGTCTCAACCCCGGGGTGCAGGGAAAGTGGAAGTGGCTGCGGCTGCCTGGTCAGGGAGACAGGGCCGGGGAGGACCAATGCCAAGGCAGGGAGACAGGAGCAGAGCTGTCAGTGCCCCATCAGGGACTGTTCCAGCTGGAAGGGACCTGAAGGTCACATTTCTAATGTTTTAACCTGCTGGGTGGGACCAGACTTGAGGCCTTGGGCAACTCTTCCCCGTGGACCCCCCACCTTCCCCTGTGTGGGGAGGAGCTAGAGAAGCTGTGTCGGATGCCTGCTGGCCACTCGGGTGCCCCTCTGCTCGGTCACCCAACTCCTTTGACAGGTGAGAAGGTAACTGAGAGCCCCTTAGGCTCCAGGCCTCAGCCCGGTCCGGGGGTCTGCCCAGGCCAGACTGCAGTCAGCAGACCTGCTGGGCAGCGATGGTGACGCCCGGCCAGTGGATGTGCAGGCCACCTCCCCTTCTCCCAGCCGGGGGCTCAGCCTTCCGAGGGCTCTGCGGCATCTTTGACTCACCAGATGCTTGTGATCACGATTCAAGCTGAGGCCTCCTTGTCCCGGTCCTTTTACTCACTGTAAGCCAGGCCCAGGTCTTGCAACAGACAGACAAACACAGCCACCGACTCGCAGCTCTGGCCCTGGCACACGTGGCCCAGCCATGGTTTTTGTCATTTGTGTGTCCGGTGAGCATAGATTTTGGTGGACCCAGGGCAGCTCAGTGTGTGTCGAGCCCTGGCCACAGAGGGCAAGTCCGACATGTGCTTAGTGGACATTTGTGGAAAGTACCCTGAAGTGGGGCTTAATGCTGACACCAGAAAGGATGATCTTTGCTACAAGATGCCAGATGTAAGCTTTCGGAGAGGAAAAGTAAACCCAGCCCTGGTGTGCTGGTTTGATTTCCTGTTGTCCTCAGCTGTACACTTCCCATAGGGCCCTCTTTCCCAAGAAAAGCTAAACCCAAACCAGGAAGTTTTGCAAGGGAGTCTTGCAGAATCCAAAGACTTCCCTGTTTTACAAGTTTCCTCTCTCTTCACAGAAGCACAGAAATGTCAGAGTTCAAAGGCCTCGCAGGGCCCCAGGCCCACCATGGTGACACATGGACCCCTCTACAATGCGGAGCGAGGCCCCGCTCCCACCCCTCTTCACTCAGTGCGCACAGACCTGGCGTGGCCCTTCCACCCCGAGCCCACCTGTGCAGGGCTGTGGGGCAGAGGCACTGGGCTGCACCCTCCGCAGGGCAGGGCCTGAGACCCAGGCCAGCGTCCACACCCTGTAGGACTGATGGTAACTGTGTGGCTCCGTCTTCAGGGCTGGGTGTCAGGGCCATTGTTTGGGACCCAATTCTTACCTGAATGTTCCTCCTACTCCCCTGCTTTGTAAGTGAATTTGCTGAAGAGAAAACACTGAGTGAAACAGGCCCCTGGCACAGACCTCTTCCCAGGCTCCGTCCTTGGGAGTTTGGGGCCCTCTGGGTGGGGTCACTTGGCCATTACTGGAGAAGCCACAGTTCCACACCTCCCTGCAAAGACTGGGCCCTGGCCTTTCCAGTGTTTCCACATGTGACAGAAAATCTGAGCCCCTCCCTTTGGTTGACCTATTCTATATCTTCATCCAAAAAGGAAGTATGGTTAGCCAGGAAGACCTGTCCCCAGGGACCTGGTCACCAGTCCTCAGTGTTGGGAACTGCTTAGGGAACCATATCAAGGGTGGGTCACAGTCCTCAGCACCGAGGAAGCTGGTACCCAGCCGGGTCCCTGACTGAGCACTCAGCTCAGTTTGTCTGACAGAGGAAGCCAGGGTGGGTCGCTCTGCCAAGCCCCAGGCCTGAAATGCCCTGCTCTGGGAACTGCCCTCTGTCCCTCTGGCCAGGACAGGGTCCCGGCTGACCTTCAGGGGCTGAGCTCTTGGCCACATGCTCCTGGCCCATCACAGCCTCTCCTCCATCTCATGGGTCAGCCCCACCCCTGCAGCCGTCTGCCTGCCCCTGGCCCCTCAGAGATGCCCTGGTAGCCCCTATGGCCTCTCTGTGTTCTCAGCAGTTGTGCAGTGCTGTTGAAAAGGTCCCAAGAGCTGGGGTTCTGCCCCTGGGCTCAAGTGCATGTCAGGACTAGAAGGCAAGACATGGTCCAGCCACCCTACTGCTGACCACTCCCACCTCAAGTGCCCCTGGGGTCCTCACCTGGAAAACAGGAAGGGTGGGGTCACCATGAAGACTGGTGGAGGGCTGGGGCTGCTGGGCCATGGCAGACCCCGTGGATGGCCGAGTTCCGCTTGTCTCTCTGCTCCTTCTCTTCCCCACGCCCCTCACCCCTCCCCTCTCTCCTTGTGTCTGGTCCCCAGCAGTCCTGAGACGTCGTCTCAAGGGCAGGAGCCCTGAGTGGGGCGGAAAGCTGTGACTCAGGGCTGCACTGTGGCTGGAGGCCAAGGCCAGGTAGCAGGGGTGGCCTTGGGTAGGACATGGGGCTGTGGAGAGCATCGGTACTGCTTGTCCGATCTGTGCCACCCATTCACCCACAGCGCTCTGTGGTCCTTAAGCTGCATGGAGCGAACTGAGATGGGCCCATGGCCATCTTACACCCAGTGTCCATGGGGCCAGGGGTCATGAGGTGGAGGAGGAGCGGGATGGTGGGATGGGGTCTTGGGCAGAGCAAGTGTTCCCATCACCCTTGGGGGAGTCATCTGGTCCCAGGGCCCCTTGCTGCAGGTGGCCAGCACTGGCCTCGCAGCGGTAGGGCCCAGAGCGGAGACGATGGGCAGAGGCAGCGCAGCTGGGAAGCACAGGCCAGGATCTGCGCTGAACCATCGACATTAGTGTGGACGCGGGCTGCTGTGACAAGATACCACAGACATTTACTCTCCCACAGTTCTGAAGGCTGGAAGTCCAGGATCAAGGTGTTGGCAGGGCTGGTTTCTCATGAGGCCTGTTGGATTAAAAAAAGCACACAACCTAAGAGTTGTGACTTTAAGTTTTATTCAAGGTCTTACTGAGAACTGCAGCCCGGGAGACGGCTCTGCTCCCCAGAGGTAGGGGAGGAGCCAGTATATACGTGAATTATGGGGCTGGGAAATACATGTAGTCAGGCGGACATCTTGGTAAAGATTACTGCTAATCACAAAGGACAGATGTCTCAAGTTACTGATTTTAGTGCTTTTCTATATGTGGGAAAATGCAAGAAGCTGCGGTCATTGAAATTCTCTCTGACATGCATCTAACTGTCTAGGTGCCTGTGTGTCCAACACACAGAGTGCCTTGTCTTATTTTTTCATCCTGAATTCCCCTCAGGGTGCACTGTCGTGGGTCACTGCAGTGGTTGCGACCTAACCCTTTTGGGGGTAGTGTCTCCCCAACATTCTTTATTCATTTATTTATGTATATATATATTTATTGAAGTCTAGTCAGTTCCAGTGTGTCAGTTTCTGGTGCACAGCATAATGTTCCAGTCACACATATACGTACATATATTCTTTTTCATATCCTTTTTCACTATAAGTTATTACAAGACATTGAATATAGTTCCCCGTGCTATACAGTATGAACTTGTTTATCGGATTTTGTGAGAATCCCCCTGTGTTCCGAAACCAGAGACACTCTGCCAGAGTTCAGTAGGTGTTCTGTGCGATACAGTGGGTTTGTAGATGTAATTCTTTTTTTTTCAAATTTTCAATTTATTTATTATTGTATTATTTTATTTTGCTTGGGGGTGGGTAATTAGAGTTTATTTTTAGCGGAGGTACTGGGGACTTCGTGCATGCCAAGCACGTGCTGTACCACTGAGCTCTCCCCTCCCACTGTACATGTAATTCTTGGTGTGTTTGTGGGAGAGGACAGATCTGTGAGTTTCTCTGCTCCATCATCTTGGCACCTCCTCCACGACTTAACCCTTTCACAACTGGATGATGAGTGACACTCTTTGCTTTTTTGTTCACAGGCATCTCTCCTTGGCATATAGATAGCCATCTCCCCGCTGTGTTCTCACTGTGTCTTCCCTCTGTGCATCTGTGTCCTAATCTCCTCTTCTTACATGGACACCAGTTACACTGGATTAGGGCCCACCCTAGTGACCTCATTTTACCTTCATCACCTACTTAAAGGCCCTCTCTCCAAATACAGTCACATTCTGAGGTGCCGTTCTAGAACCACAGCCTACAAATTTGGGGGACACAATTCAACCCATAACAACGTCCATTGCACAGGCCCCTCGTTTCTGCCCTCTTCACCCCCAACCAGTGCATCTCTTTCTCCTTAAACTTGCAGAGTTTATGTTCAACATTCTTTCAGCTGATTTTGTTCAAATTTTTATTATGGAAGTTTCGGACACAGGCAAGGAGCCGTAACAGACAGCAAGGCCCCCACACCAGCCTGGAGCAACTTCAACTTTGTGCTGTTCGTGTTTAACCTGTCTTCTCTCCCCCAACAGACACACACTCCTGTTTCCTCTGGAATATTTTAAAACAAACCTCAGACTTCATTTTATTCTGCTCAGAAAACTTATTTTAATTGTTTCTCTTTTAAACACCTCAGTTTTCTTGTCTGTGCAGGGGGAAGGCTGGGACAAGCGCTGACATCCTGGGGAATCCCATATGCCTCTGTGGCATTTCTTAAAAATCTTAAGTTTGTGGTGAATTGCCTGTGCTTTCTGCTGGGACTCCAGCCCCTTACCCATCCAGAGAGGAAATGCTGGGGTGGGGGGGTGCTGGGTGGTTCAAGGCCAGGAAGCTATTTCATCAAACAGTGGGGCATTTCCGGAGGGCATGGAAGCATGCAAGAGCAATCATCAAAAAAATGGTCAGAACTTGTGCTGTGATAGGGCTTGGGGCCAGGAGAGGTTCCACACCCCGCTTTATAAATGAGGACACCAGGCTTAGAGAGGAGAAGTGACTTGTGTAGGGTCTCACGCCTGATAAGGGGCAGGGCAGGGGCCTGGGAGCTGTCCCTCACCGGTCACTGCTCCTAATCAGGAGGAGAAACATAATCAGCCCCGCTGAGCCCCCATCCCAGCCTCACACCGCATGCTCCATGCCCACTCCCACACTCGCTCCCGCCTCCCACCCACCCCCCAAGCCCTTGCATTATGTGGGGCTGGGGTCCTGGACACGACTGATGGCACTGTGGCCCGAGGTTACCTCACCCAGCTCTCAAACCTCTGTCCACAGGGCAGAGGGGACCCAGTCCCTGATGGGACTAGGAGGCGGGGTCGGGGTGCGGCTGGTCATCAAGTGGCTGGTTTGCTTTCTTTTATTGTTTGCTTGTTTTTGTTTTTTGTTTTTTTAATTAATAGACTTTATTTTTTTAGAGCAGTTTCGGGTTCACAGCAGAATTGAGCAGAAAATACAGAGAGTTCACACATAGCCCTCCCCACCCACACATATGTACTCCCCTACCCTCAGCATCCCTCGTCAGTGTGGCATATTTGGTACAATCGATGAACCAACATGGTCACATGATTATCAACCAAAATCCATGGTTTACATGAGGGTTCATTCTTGATGTTGTACATTCTATGGGTTTTGACAAATGCATGACATGTAGCCACCACTATAGTATCATACAGAATAATTTAATAGCCGTAAAAATCCCTTGTGCTCCATCTCTTCATTCCTCCCTCCCTCCCTCTCCCTAAACCCGTGGAAACCACGATCTTTTTATTGTTTCTGTAGCTGTGTCTTTTCCAGAATGTCATTTGTTTGGAATCGTACAGTTTGTAGCCTTTTCAGACTGGCTTCTTTCATTTAGTAATATGTCTTTTAAGTTTCTTCCATGTCTTTCATGGCTTGATAGCCCTTTTTTTTTTTAACTGCATACATATTTTTAAATTTATATGTATGTACTATTCATTGTTTCTAAGAACGTTTAGAGCTTTAGCTTTTTAAACTTACATAGATATCAAAGGAATAAAGCCAACCACAAAATAAGAATTAATTCAAAAAGACACATATTTGTTCATTGGTTTTCTTCATCTTTCATAAAATGTTCTTGTTGAACAATTGAGAAAATCCAGATAAGACAGTCAGATAAGAGTAACTCTACTCCAAACAGCCAATAGGACCATCTGGGTGGTCTCCAGTCTTTTTCCATGCACGCACTCCTCTTTTCGGTATAAATATTATATGCTACTACGCGTTACTTTGCAACTTGCTTGCTTTTCTTAGCAGTGTAACTCGACATTTTTAAATAGTCTTTTAACATGTTGCCTTGAAGTCTACCTCTCATGCATGATTTGCATACCTGTTCCTTAGCTTTGCATCAGATTTTAAAAAATTTTTGCTAACGTGTTTAACTATGAAAGAAACATTTTTTAAAAAAATGTAAAGTGTCAGAATAAAATGAAAAGCCCTCTCGCCCCACTGCCTGCCTCTCCCCAATTCGCCTTTGCTCTGAGCAGTTTAATGTAGTTCTTACAAATCTTTTCCAAACCTTACACCAAACAGCTTGTTTAAACTTAAAAATATTTAATGGTGTATTCTTGTGACTTGTCTCAAAGATCTTTTAACTTCTGTAAACACAAACCATATTATGTTTTATGACTTTGTGCTATTTCTCTTGCCTTGCTGAAAGGTGTCAGCACTGCCTTGCTCTGTGGGAGGCAGAGGGGACTACAGCGCCTGACTCTGCTCCGCCACCCCTGGCGAGCACTCTCACGTGTGTTTGGGTGGGTGAGTGCACACGCCTGAGTGCCTAACATGGAGCAGGCACCATGCTCTGGGGCCCAGTGAAGGACAGAGCATGGAAGGAAGGGCCACCTGGCCGGACACTGACTGCAGACACCCAGTCCGTGGCGTCCGGGCTTCTCTGCAGATCAGGGGCCGTTTCCCCCAGTGCCTTTTCCATTTCCGGTGTTTATCTTTGCAGACACGCCAGGTGAAGTCACTGACCTCTGTGTAGGGCCAGGTCATTCCAGGCATAGGGATTCTATTCCTGAGATAATTGGGATCCCCAAAGAATCTCACTCCGTGTGACAGCAGGGCAGCTTCTGGGGAGCGAGGCCGGGCAGGCGGCCACAGCCAGCGGGGCTCCTGGTTAATTTCCTCCTGCACGTGAGGCTTTCTTGCCCTGCGTATGCGGTGCCTGTGGATCACGCAGCTGCCGCTCTGCTCGTGCTGGGAAGCTGACTGCACCCGTTTGCCTCCCCACAGCTGGAGCCCAGGAGAGGGTCCTCTAAGACCAGGCGTGACAAGGAGAAGCAGGGCTGCAGGAGCTGCGGTGAGACCTTCAACTCCATCACCAAAAGGAAACACCACTGCAAGTTGTGCGGGGCGGTGAGTCCAGACGGGAGGAGGCCGGCTGCTGGGGTCTCCATGTGCGTAGTTCCTCGTCCCAGCCTCCTTGCCAGGCACACAGACCCCTGGCCCTGGCCCCTCCAGGCAAGAAGGCAGGTCCTGGAGGCCCAGCGGGGGCTAGCCTCAAGGTGTCTGCCCTTACCCTCCATGTTCAGTTATGTCTCTTCTGGTCCTGCGGCCCTTCCAGCCTTCTTCTCGATAGTCTTCTGTCCCTGGGGTGGGGGTGGGGGGTCACAGATGTCCTCTGTTTTGCAGGTCATCTGCGGGAAGTGCTCCGAGTTCAAAGCCGAGCACGGCAGGCAGAGCCGTGTCTGCCGAGAGTGTTTCCAGGCACAGCCAGTGGCCTCCTCCCGCCCGGAGGAGCACGGGGAGCCCAAGCAGAGCACAGAGGTGGGTGGGCTGGGTCCTGTGAGCCTTCCGGACACAAGCCCCCAGTCCCAGCAGCCTGGGGAGACTGGACTCCCAGAGCTGTCGGCTTCCCTGGAACCAGGAATGGCGGGGCTCAGTGGGGTCCATAGGGCACCGAGAGCAGCCAGCAGCTGCATGCCAGATATCATGTGTGTGCACGTTGGGCTTCTCAGCCCACCACGGCCGAGGGCTTGGGAACCATTTGCACCTAGGAGTTAGAGGTGTATCAGTCAGCTCCCGCTATGTAACAAATACCACACATTGGGCAGTTCAAACATCAGAAACTTGTTTCCTCACAGTCCTGGAGACTGGAACTGGAGATCAAGGTGTCAGCAAGCTGGTTTCTCCTGGAGCCTCTCTCCTTGGCTTGTAGATGGTCGTATTCTCCCTGTGGCCTCACATGGTCTTCCCTCGGTGGGGGTCTGTGTCCTAATCTCCACCTCTTATAGGGACACCAGTCACATTGGATTGGGGCCCATACATATGACCTCATTTTAACTTAATTACCTCCTCAAAGGCCCCATCTCCAAACATGGTGCAGGGGAGGGTTAGGGCTTCAGCACATGGATTTGAGGGCAAACAGTTCAGCCCATAGCAGATGGGGACAAGTGTCATCTTCATTCATGGTCACTTTGATTGGAGGCCTGGAAGCCGCATGGAGGGGAGTGCTCCCGTGCTTTGCCCATGCCATTCAGGGCCAAGGGGCAGTGAGGACCAGCCTCCTTCTCTCCTACTATCCTCCTGAGGGTGGCTGCTACCTTCCAGATCCTCTTTCAAGGGCACTGTCCCTTTTTGATGAGGTAACCGGGAAGCTGGAAAAGAAAGAATGTGCCTTTCCAAAAAAGCACATTTTTCCATTCTCTCCATGGCCAGCTACACATCGGGGTCTTCTAGGAGGCTATTTATAATGTCAGTTTCCCTCCTCAAAGGTCCCCAGCAGGGTCATCCAGGTGGGCCAGGGCTCTGGTGGAGCCTCAGTTAGGGTCTCTGTACATCTTAGAGGTCAAATGCATCAGTATATTAGAACCGAGTGTAGGATTATCTCAATAGAGGAGAGAGGAGCCCATTGCACGTGCCTGCCCTTGGCCCCCTCATCCCTGCACTTTAAACACCGTGTCTGGGAGACCCAGGTCCTAGGTCCAAGCAGAGACCGGCTTCACCGGATGTGTCTGAGGGGCTTCCTGATGACGCAAGGGTTGTGTTCATGACTGCTCTTAACACATCCACAGTGAGGGAGAGGTGTGTGGTGTGTGTGTGTGTGTGTGTGTGTGTGTGTGTGTGTACAGCTGAATCATGAACAGCCACCACATTCTGGTTCCCTGCTGTTCTATTTTTTCATATTTTATCTTTATTTCTGTCCTGACACTGCTGGTGGTCTCACTTCCTCAAGGGTCCAGCCCAACCCCAGGTGGCCTTGCGGTGACCCTGGAGAGGTTGGGCTGGCCCAGGCCCTTGTCCAGTCTGTCTCCCCTCCTGCTGTCTCCCCCCAGAGCCTCGGCCCTGGTGCTCCCCCAGAAGAGTGCCGCTTGCAGGTGAGACTCCACCTGACTTGTCCTCTGTGTCCCCAGAAGCCAGTCGCTGAGGATACCCTGCCCAGCCTGCTTTGCGGCCCCCTGCAGGTGTCGGATGGTAGCACAGCCTGGAGCAAGGTGTGGGCTGCCATCTCTGAGTCGGAGCCCCTGGAGTTGGTGCTGCACCTGCAGGGAGGCAGCCAGGTGTGTCCTCTGTCCCGGGGGCCATGCTTGGGGTGGGGTTGCGGGGTGGTGGTGGTGGTCCACTCTGCTCTGACAGCTCAGAGCCTCAAGCCCAGGGTGCCTAGGTAGGCCTGGGCCATGCTGCCTGGGACCAACCCCACTTGGAGGGTGGCTTATGTGACCATAGTACCACAGTTTCCCTGACTGCCCAGAATCACCCCTCTGCCGCCCACTCATGGGAGCTATGTTTTCGCGATGCCAGAACTCCTCCCCTGGGATGCTGACCCTTCTCTCCTCTGCTGCAGGATGGCCAGCTGCTGCGTGCCATCCCGCTCTCCGGCTGCAGAGTGAGCGTGCCGGACCCCGCGGAGAGGCCGGGTGCTGGGCACGTGTGGCAGCTGCAGCAGGCCCGGGAGTCCTTGTACCTGAGCGCCTCGTCCGCCGAGCTGCAGCAGCAGTGGCTGGAGGCCCTGAGCACAGCAGCCCGTGGGCCCTCGGCCCAGGCCCCAGAGGGCCCGTGAGCTGAGTCTCTGCCGCATCTCTGGCTGTACACCCACCACGACAGGGTCGGTACTCACCTGAGAGGTGGCGTCGAGGCCACATGCAGGCATGAAGGGAGCCTTGACTGCTAAGGGGCCAAAAGGTCAAATGGCACTGGGCCCTGGAGGGTCCCTCCAAGTCAGAGAGGAGAAAAATGAGGCCCAGAGAGGGACAGCCACCTGCCTAGGGTCACCCAGCACATTCCTCGAAGAGCCAGGCCTCTGTCCGCAAGCCCAGCAGTGCGACCCAGAGTGGGGCGCGGGGTGACTGTCAAGTAAACCCTGTCTGAATGGGCCAGGCAGGGTCACCTGGCACCGGAAGACAGAAGGAGCCTCCCGGGTGGTGTCCAGGGACACTTGGTGGATGTCAGCAGTCATGCCACCCCTCCTGACGGTTGCTCATCCATCTATACCATCTACATCCATGTGAGCTGAACTGTAACTGGCCTGCCAGACTCTGGCCCCCTTCTCTTTCGTCTCCAGGCCACTGGGCACAGCCCTGTGCTGCCCCGTAGCTCACCACCCCATTTGCAGATGCCCATGGGGGTGAGTGGCGGGTTCCTGAAAACTACAGGGCGACCACACTGGTGTCGTGTGGGGGCCTGAGATTTGTGCCTGCGTTCCCTGGAGGGCAGTGGACAGTGCTTATCTGCATAAGTAAATGCTGGCAGCCAACAGGTGGACACAGCTTTGGCGCAGTCTCCCCATGGTGGGCCTGCTGGTGGTTGGATGGGGAACAAGGGTGACAGAGGGGCACAGCCAGTAGTGGGGGCCTAGACCCCCACCCAGGCCTGCAAAGTGCAAGTCACACCTCCTGTGGGGACCCCAGGGCTCAGTGGCATTAGACAGCGGGGCCTCAGACAAGGTGCCATGCCTGGAGACCGGCTCTGCATCCCTGGTCCTGCTAATGAGGTGGACAGGGCCATTTGCTCCTGTAGCAGAGGGAGCCAGGCTTAGATATGGGACCATGGAGTGACGGGCCATCAGAAAGGGCTATTTGCACCAGAGCCCTGAGGGCCTTGGGGTACAGCACAGGGATTTAGGCACTAACAACTGAGGGATGTCCAGTCTCTTGAGACCTTTATCCCTCTAACATCCATAAGGCACTCTGCAGGGGTGCCTGTCACTGCCCACCTATGGGCAGACTTTCAAGGCCCTACCTGGGGGCTGAGAGGCCCATCGTGGGAGCCAGAAATGGGTGACTAGTCACAGATGAGGTAGGGGTGGGGCCCAGGTGAGGAGTGACAGGGCAAAGGTGAGGTGGGGCACAGGTGAGGTGGGTGGGGTCCAAGTGAGGTACTCAGGGCACAGGTGAATTGAAGGTGAGACCCAGTTGAAGTGGGCGGGGCCTAGTTGAGGTGGGCGGGGCCCAGGTGAGCTTATGCGTGAGCCAGCACCATCCTCCACGTGCCTGGGTGCTGCTGCAGCTGCATGCCTGCTGTGTACCTGGGCCCTAGTCCTGCACTTGAGAGAGCTCTCTACCCTGCAGTGGGTGTTCTGACCCTGCTTGACACAAGCAACCTGTCCACTGGGAAGGGGAGGCCAGGCCCTTCCAATTGTGCTTTTGCTCAAGGAAATGCAGCAAAGTCCCTGCCTTTGTCCCTGCCCCAGGGCAGGGACAGCGTGCGTCAGAGGCAGTGAAGGGACTTGGGGCCCAGTTGGCTCCTTCCCGCTGGTCCTGCCCCTTACCCCTGCTCCACCTTCTCTGTCTCATGCATTGACTGAGCACCTACTACATATGGTCGGGCCTAGTGGGGATCCTTCTTAGGGTCAACTCTGCAATACTCCAGTTTCACTACAACCCCAGGGTGTTCCCACTCACAGCTGAGGGAACTGAATCACAGAAAGGATGCCCGCGAGAGTCCCACAGTTCCAGACCAAGTGGGCAGCTGAAATGGACCCGCTGGGCACGGTGGCACCCTGCTGGGGTCTCAGGGGGCAAGACTGGCATCCCCATCTGGGATCCTCACCCAGGGTCCCCACTGTGGGTTCCTGCCCAGGGTCCCATGGCTGGTTCCCCAGGGAGCTCCCTGTGCACCAGGGCAGAACTGAGCCCTCTCCTCTCCTACCCAACAGCTGGGGGGGCCAGGCACACAGGTTCCCACAGTTATCTCAGGAGGATCCTGCCCTCACTTGGCACATGGGAAGGTGGGTGAGGCGGGCATCCTGTTCCTAGCAGCTCAGGGTCCACCAGGACGTCATATTCCATCGCATGGTCCATCAGAGAGTGTCCTGGGCCAGCTGCAAGGGTGAAAGCAGGAGGTGTCCCCACAGTCTGTGGCTGCAGCAGGATCGTGAAAAATGTCCTCGCTGCCCATTTTGGACAGTGCTAGCCCCTGAGGACACAGAGGAAAGGAAATCCCTCCATTTGGAGCCTCCATTCCCAATGAGAAGAAAACGTGCAGCCGCAGGGGAGGAAGGGGAGTGGGCATGAATGGCGGGGAGGGAGGTCCCTGGGAACCCCACCTCTGACCGACACCCTTGAGGAGGGGTTGCAGGAAGTGCGTGGGTCAAGGGCAGGGCCACTGAGGCCTGGAGGAGCCAGGGGTGCATGGTGAAGAGCAGAGGGAGCCTCGCAGAGACAGGGCCTGGTTGTGGGTCCTCCATGGGGTCTCCTTTGGAGATGCTCTGGGAGGCGGGAGCCGGGAGACAGGCTTGTGGACTTAGATCCAGCTGGCTGCGATGAAAACGACCAGGGCAGAGATGGAGACGGGGCCCAGTGTCCCCAGCACGTCTCAGCACAGACCCCTGTGATGCGCACACCAAAGGCCAGCAGTAAGATGGGGGAGCCTCTGCCCAGTCTCCACACAGACATGGACCTGCGTGGCCAGAGCATCCAGCTTTTCAGGAGATGAAAGATACTTGGATGTTCTTGTGACATATCCTGAAAAATGTTAACAATTACTGTGCAGTCTTAAGTCATAGGGTGGGTGGCCAGTGCCTGGCTCCAGAAGGCAGGTCTGTCCCCAGGGACCCTTCCGACTGAGGGCATCTGGCCTGCCTGCCCCCTCTGGATGCCCCAGTAAGGACTGTGAGACGTGGGCCGCCTGCCCAGTCTCCACAGCATGTGTCTGGGTGATCCTTGGGCCTGGCTTCTTCCCACCCCACCTCTGGCCGCCCTCATCTTGCCCCCATAGCCCGGGGCCTGGGCACACTATACTGCCCATCCTCAGAGGGTGGAGGCTGGATGCACCCTGGCTTTCAGCCTCTCCACCATCCTTCCTTTTAGATCTGCTCCTCCTCCTCAAGTCCAGCCCCCAACCCTGCAGGACAGGAGGGCCATCCCCTGGATGGAGGGAGAAGGGAGTGCAGTGGGCTGAGCAGGAGGTAGCCCCTGGGCTCTCTAGGGTCCTAGAGAATGCCAGATGGGGCAGGAAAGGGTCTGAAGTACCCAATCATCACAGGAGCCAGAGGCCTGAGCTGAGGGTCTCCTGTGCCCCCAGGGGCTGCTGCCTGCTCAGCCTGGGGAACACCCATCCCCACTAGGCCCAGAGGGGGATTGCTGGCCGTGTCCCTCACAGTCCTGGGAAGAGGAAGGAGCCAGCGTACACAAGCACCTGTTGCAAGCAGGCACCCAGCCCAGCCACTTCCTGAAAAGAATTACAACTCAGGGGGCATCTTAGAGGTAGTGAAACCAAGGCCCAGAGAGGGAAATACACTTGCCCAAGGTCACACCGTGAGTTAGGGACCCAGCTGGGAGACACTCATTCACTCTTCATCAATTTCTTCATGCAGCAGGCACAGCTGGCATACCTCCTGTGCTCTGGGCACTGGGGTGCTGGCTACTTGGATTTCTAGGACTGGGGGATCAGACAACACCCTGTAGCCTCTGGCCCTACCACACTTCCAGCCTCATTTTCTCCTGCCCACCCCTCCCCTCTACTGCTTCTTCCCCACCCCAGATCACTTTAACAGACACAGAAATTGAGGCTGAGAGAGCGGCAGTAGCTACCTAAGGCTATAAAGGCCCAGAGCTCTCCTGCCTCCTCTGAGGTCCCCAGGTCTCCGGGACATAGAGCTCATTCCTCTTCAGACATCTGGTCCCATTGCAGAGACCTGCACACTCATACCCGGAGGGGCTGCCACACCCCAGGAAATCAGCAGAGGGGCATTTGGACCCAGGTGGTTCTGACTCACACCAGTGCCCATCCTTCATCACCCTCCCAGGGGACAGCAGGACACCGTGCAAGTGGAAGTGGCAGGATCGGCCCCCGAAGCCCCAGCTTACCCTAAACGTCAGAGCCCAAGCCTTGGGGGGCTCCAGCCCTCATCCCCCAGATGCTCAAAGGGCCATCCCACCTCCTGGGGTCTGACAGGGCTCTGGAATCCAAGTCCCTCTGAGCAGCCAGTCCAGGTGCTGAGCATCTAGGGAGGAAGGTGGGCTCACCTCCCCAAAAGCCACTTGCAGTGAGTGTGTCTGCAGATGAACTCTGTCTGCACAATCCTTCCGGGAGGCCCAGCTGATAACTGAGGGTGGCTGTGTTGTGGACCTCAACCACCCGTTCCTTTCAGTCACCCCATCTCCTTGTGGGGTCTCCCACAAGGTGGTCCCGGGAGGTTCCAGGTGGTCACAGGGGGTTCTAAGTGGTCCTGAGGGCCCCAGGTGGTCCCTGAGGGGCTCCAGGTGGTCCTGAGGGGCTTCGGGTGTTTCTGAGGGGCTTAAGCTATCCCCAAGGGGCTCCAGTTTGTCTCAAGTGGTCCCAGGGGCTCCCAGGTGCTCCCAAGGGGTTCCAGGTGTTCCTAGGTACGCCAGATCAGAGGGACTCCAGGAGGTCCCAAGGCAGCCAGCTGTGACAAGAGGCCAGGCTGCTTCCTGGTCACAAACCCCCCCACACCCACCACTGCTCCCCCGTTTATGAGAGAGGAAACCGAGGGCCAGAGAAGTGGGTGGGACCAGGGCAGGCCATGGGGAGCAGCCAAGTGCCCACCGCACATTCTGCACATTCCATCCTAGAAAGCTGGCCTCGCCTGCCCTGCTGGCCACAAGGCCCACCAGGCCCAGCCCTGCTGACCCAACGGATTTCTGGGCTTGGTGCCCTGCTCACAGGTGCAGAGGTCCGATGGAGGCCCTCGCAGCCCCAGGAAGGCTTTGTGCCCGGCACTCACACTATGTCCCAGCCTGCAGTTTCCTTTCCCTCAAAGCCCGGCTGTGCTCAAGCCCCTGCTTGCTGGGCTTCAGTGACCCTGATGGGAGCATCCTGAGGGTCCCTGAGCATGGTGGCACACCCACATTGCTCTCTCACCCCTGTCCCACCCTCCTGATGGCCCCTCTGTGCTGTCCCCAAGCTGGACTCATTCCCCTCTGACCAGCAGAGTGACAAACAACAGATCGTGCCTAGGGAGTTTTCTGCAGAGGAGAAGAGCTGCCAGCTTGGGTGGACCACCTGGCCCCCAGATCCTGGAAACAAAAGGTATGCAGAGAAAGGACTCCATCTCGGCCTCCTGCGGCAGGGGCTCCCTGACCAGCTCTCCTGCTCCCTCAGACAGGGTTGGTCCAGGATGGCCATGTGATGCAAGACAGCCCCCGACCTCGGGGGTGGAGGTGAGTCATCTTGGAATGGGACGTAAGGGCTTCCCGGGGAGCCCAAACCAGGATGGGAGACTAGGCAGGAGGGAACCCATCTCTGACATCACCTGACACAGCCATGAGAGAGGAAAGTTCATCTGGAGTCCAATTCCTTCCACCC